CAGCAAAATTTCCTTATGTTATGTTTTATCTGCTTCTGCTACATCATCTCTTCAAACTTCCTTATGTTGTTCGGATACCAAAAGGATATTGTTCCACCTGAGTAGTATGTACGGCACAACTTTCCTACCGGACAACATCTAAGCGTATACATAGAGCACAACATCTAAGCGTATACATAAATATCCAAGGAAGACTTGTGCTCATATCTATTAGTTAGTTTCTTTAACTTAACAAGCAAAATGGCTTTGTTTTCGAGGAAGAGTTGTGTACTTTACATGCTTTTTAGTCTAACATTTTTTTTTTGTCTCTAGTCTCCACACTTGGAACAGAATCTAAATACCGGAGTTGCGTCTTCTTCATAAATGAATTCCAAACTGAAGGACTCTCCTGTCTGGACACCATTAGTCTCACAAAATCCTTTCCAACCAATTCCCAGAGCCACAAAGCCATCTCTTGACAATCGATATGCCGAGCAATTAATTCCGTCTTTACCCAATAGAGTTATCTTCCCCAGCTTGTCGATGCCATTGGCTCTCATGAATTGAATTGGCAGATGCTGCAAAATATATGAACAAACACCTCTAGTTACCAATTAGAATACAAAACGGAAACTAACCAACCACTAAAACAATAAGAGTAGTTTGATGAACTTACCAGTTTACAGGCTCTGACATCTTCAGGTTCAAGTGTCAATGTCATGAATCGGTTTTCCATTGATGATAATGAATCTCTCCTATTAGAATGACACTTGTTTCGCACCAGCTTCCTTGAAAATTTATCCTCTCTATTGTTGTTTGCTTTCCTGGTCTTGCTTTCACTGCTAGGTTCTGGGAAGTCGACTCCTTCTCGCTATCTTTTGAACACTTTCCTTGCTGCCTTGGATCACTTGTGGACTCTGTATTGAATAAACTGAGCGTAGGAGTTGCGCCTTTCCAGATTAACTCCAACGTGAAGGGTTCACCAACTTTTAAGCCATTTGCTTTAGCAAAAACTTTCCAGCCTTTTCCAAAAATATGTTCTTCCACTGGCTTCCTGTCGACGCATTACCAGCCACTTTGTACCATCTTTACCCAGCAGAGTTATATCCCCAGGTTTGTCCAAGCTATTTTCTCTCATGAATGACATTGGAAGAAGCTGGACAAGATTTGAAATGAAGAATATAACAAATTATTAAGAGTGCAAGTGATGAATCTCACTAAACCCTGTTGATGAACTCACCTGTCTACATTTTAGAAGGCTGGCATGCGTAAGTCGTAATGTCATAAATCGGTTAAGGCTTGTTGAAAGTGAATCTCTACATTTCAGATAGTTCTTCTTTCTCTTCTCTTTGCTGATCATTTTTCCACTGCTAGGGTCTACGAGGAGAGACTCTTTCCTTCTTGCTTTTTCTCCTCTACTCTCTGCAGGGCAGAAACTGAGCACAGGCGTTTCTCCTTCTCCCGCTAGTTTGAACACAAAGAGGTCTCCAGCTTTTTTACTGTTTTTAACACAGAAACTTTTCCAACCTCGGCTTATGTAGAAAGTATCAGATGATTTGTTGAACCTCAGATCCAATTCCCATGATTGTTTCCCTTCGTCTGTCAAAAAAATCTTGCGGCATACTCTTTTAAGACCATTTGAACTTATGATACCTTTTGGAAGATCCTGCAAAAAACGGGTTTAAACATTAGCATTTCTTCATGATACCATCTTGTACAACACTTTGTTTAGTTTCATAACTAACCAACATAAACATAATATACCAAAACGTTGAGAAACACCTTTTTTAGTTTCATTTTCATGAGTCAATATAGGGTAGTAGGCAAATAGGC